AACCCGTGGCGTCCCCAAATCCTAATCCCCCAGCCTCAAATTCTATTTTTGGCTTCCGGCGGAATATCTTGGTTTCGGTGGGTGGGGCAAAAACATCCACTGAGGAAGCTTCTTGGGACTCTTCCTCCCTTCCGAGCAGTCGGTTTTTGGTTGTACCCATCTCCGAAGTTTCGATCACCTTCTCTAGGTTGTATGTTGTCCTTTAACCACTTTTTGAGTTTAAAGAACTCGGTGCGACACCTAACCCCTAAACTGCATTGCACAAATTTAATTCTAGTATAAACCTATCTAGCATAGTACTTATTTATTACTTTTGTCCGGTTTGTTGGTACAAAACCGGGATTATGTGGGAGCTGGTTCCCACAAGCCAATCAAAGATAATGATTTTTTTTATCAATAATTTTTTTTTACATTTCAAAACATTTCAAGATAAAAATATTTTAAATGTACATTATATCAGATTAAAATTTAGATCTCAAAACTCTAGATGGTAACAACAAAAGATGGTTCCAAGACACTAGTTCAAAACTAAAAAACGTGACTTTCAAGTATATTCAACTCCAATACTCGTGGACGGCAGTGACTTGGCTTAGTGCTTCAGAGTCAAGCGATACTAATTCCAACTAAGGAGTAAGCTCTCCGAGAGATTGTCCAGATATTCACGCCTTTCACATAAGACAATCATATTTGTAAATGAAGAATTAGTTAACTATAATTAATTTGATTCTGGTTAGTTAGACTTAATTGTTCAAAATTGATCAAAATTGGGATTAATCCTCATTATCATCCAGAGTTAATTTAACTAGATAATCATTATAGAAGAGAAATTATTGTAGCTCTCAATGAAACAATAAGCAATTTCATCACAAAAGAATTTTGTGTTCTTGTGGATGTAGCTCAACAAGGTGAATCATGATACTGTTTAAATGATAAATATTTCATGGGTGTAATCATGATTGGCGTAATGTAATTTTGACATAAAATGAACACAAAAATTTGTGTGAACAAGTGAATGAATTTTTTTAAAACTGAAAACCCCAGCTGTCAGACAAAAAAAAAGAAAAAAAACTGACAGGAAAAAACTGACCAAAAAATTAATTTATAATATTCAGATTTTTTTCAAAGTATTTCACTTCAAAAAATATATTTTATCACCTTCAATAGAAATAATTGCATCAACATATGTTTTGTTTGTTGTTAGTATCTTCTTACAACTTATCATGTGATCATCAACTTATTCTCTCAACTAACAATATTTGATGTGTCATTTTGTTTGAGCACAAAAAACATGAGTTTTTTTTCTAGTTCAATGATCTTGATTCAAATGCATAACACATTCATTGTCAATAAACTTACAAGTAAGTGAATACATCAATCCCCAACGTTTTACACCATTTTTAATTTCAAAAATAACACATTTTTGTAAGGATAGATCTAAAATATATATAAATTTTTTTAATCATAAGTTAATATACATATTATCAACAATATTTTTTAAAAATTACTATTTGTTGATTATTTTAATCTTCCAATCTAACAATGACATGTAATTAATATCATTAGAAAAAAGTAAAAATATCAAGTTAAAGCCAAAACTTGTGTAACAAACTTGATTGATTCAACGTACACATGGTAAGATCAAATATTGTTTGGTAATAGCAATCTGTTATGGATTATATGATAAAGTGAAACAATGAAAAATAATTTCTTATTTACAATACAATTTAATCTTCCAAATTGAAACCTATGACCTTATCTAGGTTTACAGTTCTCCATTATTTGCTTATCCGAATTCCAAATGGAAATTTTTACTTCTTACAATTGTCAAATTTCTCAAATACAAAGAACACAAGAAGATGGAAAAACGTCAATACTTCTCAACATATAAAATTCGAACAACAATGAATACATATGAATATATCATTTACGATTTAAATGATTTAAAAATGGATTGATTCAATTCAATTCAATTCAATTAAGAGATGATGAAATCATTGTAGAATGATAGTATGATTTTGATTTTTAAGAAAAATCAAAAGTACAAAACAACAAATCACAAAGATATTTTTTTGGGATGACTAAATAAAATGCAAAATTTTAAAAATAATACAATCATTGATTCATAAATAGTTGGTGATAATTAAAAATAACAACAAGTGATGTACATAATTATTACACAAATTGAAGTTGAATTCACTTGTTAGAAAATCTTCACATGAGTAAATTTAGTTCAAAAGATATTTTTAAATTTTTTTTAAATTTTTTTATACTTTTCAATATTTTTATTAAAAAAATATCTTTGTGTTTCTATACTTAGAAATATTACTATTTGCTTATTGAATGTGTTTGTACCTTAATTATACTTATTTAAATAAAATGAATTTTATTGCAAATTTTTAATATTAATCTAGATGAAATAATTATAAATATATATGAAAATTTATATATATTTAAAATTATAATATTATATATGATAAAAAATACGATTTGAAAATGTCAAGAAAACATGCATACACAATACAATTAAGTGTGTTGTTATTCTCTGATTTTTGAAGTTAACTCTAGTTAAGAATTAACCTAGCTATTTATAGCTAGGAAGGTCGTCTGGACTGGGGATAAATACCTCGGGTTTCACCTTGTACACGGTGTTAATCTCATTAGACCTAGAGTAAAGTGCTGAGAGTTCTGGATGGACGTAGCCCTCCGGCTGAGGGTGAACAACATTATTTTTGTGTTCGTGTAATTCTAGATTTTTGACTTCACACTGATTAGTACACAAGAACAATGAAATTTTTTACCTGAAAACTTTCAAATTGTTCAAAGCAAGTTGTGTCTCGCCCTAATATATAAACATAGTAGTAGAAAACCTTAGGTTTAAGCCTAATTATTTTAAGTTTAATCTTAGCTCCAATTCAAGTTACGTTTAATAGAGTTTAATCCGTGACTTGAGTCCATATTAACAATATACAAGATTTGATTTATTTCCATCTTCAGTTGTTTTTCTTGATTGAACACAGATTTTGTTGACAAAACTTTCAGCCAAATAGCCTTCATATTTTCTACGTTTCATCTACTTTCTCATCATAGATATACTTTTTGGGTTGCAAGAAGTACAATTGATTTTTCCATCAACATCTTCGATCAACAGATGCAATATGAAGTTCAAGATTTTTGTAAATGATTCAATATATATTTGTTCAAAATTTATATGTGTTTTTTGAACTATAATATTCACAATATTATGATTATTGGCGACAAGATCTTATAATCTCTCTAATCATCAAGATACATAGCTAGAAAAAAAATGGACAAAATTTTCATCTACAATTTGGAATTACCAACTTAGGAATGAACTTCAAAATCTTGAAAGTGACATATGAATGAAAAAAAAACACATTTGCATTGTTGTGAGTTAAAAATTCAATGGATGAATAAGATAAGATGATGATCACTAAGTTTGATAGAGCAATATATGACATAGTCAGATTTGATGCACTATGGGTTTGAGAAAAAAATTAAGGTCCAAACCTTCCATTGGCAACAATGATGAGTTAAAATATTTTTGAAATTAGTCTATCAGAATAATCAAATCATATCTACAACCTTTGCTTTTGAAACAAATAGAAGATTATGACAATTGCATTTTGTTTTTTTGATATTTTCAATCACTTTTTCATCATAAAGAGCTATCAAACATGTTGTATGCATACTTTAGGTTATTGAGCTTCACAATGAAACTTTTTGGCATAAAAAGGAATATCATATTGACGCATTTGATGATCATGTAATGAATCTTTAGAATCTTGATGGAAATGTATGCTAGTAACTAGTCTTTAAATCTGAATGAGGAGATAAGCGATGAACGGAAAGTGTTTCATGTGTTGAGTTTGCTACCAACTTCATTTCAAATTTTTTCATGGATCTTGTTTCATTGTGACGGCCAAAAAATTGCTTACAACAAACTTGTAAATGCATATATTGACTAATGATTTGCAGTAGAAGTTGATGTTGACATATTTCTCATAATATTCACTAAATGTGATTTGAGATTGATCATATTAAAGTATGAACAAGTATAGCAAATGCGACGGATCTAAGAGTTCATCCAAGTCTAGAAATAAATCTCTAGAGAGAAGAACGGTGATATGATAAAAATGTAGCAAGAGTGTTCACATCAAGAAGTAATGTCACCTGAAGATCATAGGTGATAAGCTTTCTTAAGTCAATGCGATTCAAGAGTTCAATGTCGAGGAGTATTATTTGCTCAACAAAATCTTTGATGTCAAAATTATGCCATATGCAAATTACCAAACAAGGTTGGTGATGTATGGATTATAGTTTATGGTTTAGTAGTTATTTTATGGTTTGCTTCCATCGTTCCTACATTCATACACTTCAAACCAATGTTTACGTTGCTGAAACGTCCAAATGTGTGTTAATGGTGCTCTGCAATGACCAAGATGAATGGTTCGTACCAGTTAGTATCGACATTAACGACTACTCGGTAGCAGATGCACTTCGTGAGTCTCACAGGGTATCACAGATATCATTCAGTCTCCTCGCTGACAACCGTTTTCAGTACTTGAGCTAAAAGGTATATTCGTGTACATAGGCAGTAACGATTCATCGAAAGACGTAACAAACATAGTACTGCAAGTTAGTTTATAAATAAGTCATACATAAGTCATACTCTAGTGAATTGCTGGCAGGGATGCTTGAGATTCAGATGGGCCAAAAAGTAGTCAGTTGATAGCGTCCGTGGAACTGTGAATTACTATGAGAAGAGGTGTGCGTCTGACCCAATCTGCAAAAGTTTTGATTGAAGTTTATCGCCTATATCATAACGACTCCATCGAAAGGAAAAAACCTCGGAGTGGTTAGCATATTGACGCATAACTGACAAACAAATATTAACGGGCAGGTCGTTAAAATACTAGAAATCGCCGACCTCGTGAACACAGGTTGTACCTCTGTGTAAGTACTGATCATTCATCGTTGAGGGGTACACAATGTAACAACATAGAACTACGAAGCCAGTATCTTCCGTAGGAGATTTAATAGGTTGCATGCTCGCGGAGGGGATCCTCAGTGAGGAGTTTTTACTCATTGTACACATGCATGGTTATCTAAGTAATCTCGGTTCTCAAAAACTATTGTCTGCATAGCTTCATTCGGTAGATCCAACTTATCGAGCGCGAACACTCCCATTTAGTGTAAAGACGGGCCACCACACCGCGGTGAAATGCTGAACCGGGAACGCAGAGCAGACAGCTCCACCCCTCAAAGGGCGACGCATGAACAGACGATTGTGAACATCTCTCATTAATATACAATGATTCGAACAGCCGGAGGGAAACCACAGAATTTGAATTTCTCTAACTACAAACTAACTATCATTTTCCTGATTTACAGACGTGCTTTCTTTTGCGTTGGGGTCTCTTCTGCTACTACAGATCCATCTCCTTCTTTGGCGGGTGTGTCAGCAGCTGCCGCTGCTTTAGCTGCGGCTGCCTGCCTTCGTTCCCTCTTCAATCCCTTCATCTTCGCTAGAGCCATGCCTTCCACCTACATAAGTATTGCAAACCCTCATATTAGCCATGTTTCCCACAACGCACATTCAGTAATATAGCGGTTCTCTGCAAACATGCCATACGTAGTCCACGAATCATATAGTAAAGAGCTCGAATTGTAAAACGCACCTCTTGCTTGGGCATGTAGATCTTTCCAATCTTCCCTTGAAGAGAGTCTCCCTTGACATTCTTCACCTGAAACAGCAGCACGTTTGGAACATGAGACAACCTTTACCTCCAATGATAGCAGAAACTTACGAAGCACGTCTGATTCTCCTTACACTAACTACTTGATCTCATCCGAGTAGACCCTCCCACAGCAAGAAACATCTTATGCAAAGGGCTAAGGATAAGTGACGGAAGAGAATATGCGAGCTTAACAATCACACAGAAAAAAACACCAATTAAGAGACATTTCCTATAAAGGTGCGGATTCGCCCTAGGAAGTATCCTGTGAAGACAACCAGCCATAAACCAGACTTCTCTTCCACGCCTACAGGCAGAACACGAACAAGATTTACAAGCAACACCCAATGTCCTTGCAACTCATGTAAATGTGGAGACGAGGGGCGGAGTTACGATGTCCAGATATGGTACCTTCTTCTTCGCGGTCTTCAATGGCATCTTCATAGCTTCTCTACGAAGATCTTCACTAGGTTTTCTACTTCTTCTTATGCTAATGTCGAAGCAAGGCCCAACCTCCACCAGCTCTACGCGTGGAAATTTACTTTCGTCACTCTTCTTCAACTCGATGCCACAGTGCCTTAGGTAAACCTGCGTAAGTATCAGAATTATTTCTCCAAATTATTGACCACAGGAGAAGTACTGAAAACAAAAACTCATCTACGGACTGAGCGCACATTCCTCAACATCCCAAGTTTATCCTGCTGAAAGAGACATATTCAAAAATTTAACAACTTCACACTTGGGCACATACCTTATCACCAGCCGCGGCACAAACAAAAACTCTATCCAATCCTCCCACGTTTATGGTTTCTACTTCCTCGCCACGGAAGAAATCCAGAAGCATTTCCTTCAAATGCGCCAACTCCGGTTTGCTCTCAAATGCGTCCCCAAGAAATGCAAAACAAGGCTTCGAACCTTCCTGAGGCGCAGCTTTCCTACCGCCGCCCAATTGCGCAATAGATTGGTACTTGTCAACTCCAAGCTCAATCATGTCTAGCACGTGATGGTCGTACATTCTTCCAATCACCAAGTTGTTCGGTCGTTTTTTAGAATGCGTTCCAAACTGCAAGAGACAGAATCTAACATCCCTTAGAGTAGAGCTACGTTATACCAAAAATTGCCCGAGTAAACATGGAAATTGAAGCAGAATGCTGGAAAATTAAATCCTCTTGCTTTCGGTTGGAGACATGTAACACCTCCTGCTGCCACACATGAACTTACAATAACCAGAGAGGAAATAGTGAATACTACCTCTAACGGTGACATGAGAGTCGCAAATCATGCGACTCTCATGTTAGTCTCCATGACTAAGACTAGTTACCTCTTTCTCGCAGCACACATCGCTAACTCATAATTGAAAGGATACTCACACTAGAGACCTGAGCAAGACGGCGATGGACCAGCAGGAGGAAGGCAATCAGATGGAACCAAAATTGAAAACCAGTACTAATTAGAGAACAGCTGTTATCCCGTTCACCGGCGCTATCCTTCAACTAGTTGAAATGTGAAGCAATTCCACTTCGATGGTCATCCTTTGACAAGAGACATGAGGAAGGGGTATTGTACATATTGATCTGCCCATACAGTTTGCATACATCTTCACTTGCGACTTGTTTGTGAAATTAGGATTTTTGGACCTGGCGAAAACTAAACGTCGTGCTCTGCGAAACTGGTTTCAGGAATTTACCGCAAAAAGACTGCAGTCCGTCTTTGCTGAGAGAAACTCTAGTGAGGTCTCACCACCACCTTCAAAAGGTCGGACATTGTCATTCTTCCTCGAAAACTTGACGGCAGCGCCTCCAGCCTTCTTCAGATGATACAGGTCGGAAATGACATTTTTTATCAAGCTGCTCGATTTGGTACCTTGGAGAAGCATTAACCTTTTGACATTCTCGTCCTACACAACAATAACAGGGCCCCTCAGCGAAGTTAGCATCATGCTCCAAGAACAAACATCATTACAAATCAGTGCACGCTCAAACAGGAAGAAGAGGGGGAATGACTGAGGACCCTCTGACTGGAAGGAGGCGATCAATAACAGGAAAAGTGATGATCTCAGGCAGAGGAACCAATACCCGCTGGACAATACAGAGCAAAATCATCCCGAGTCACGAAGGATCAATCAATATAATTTCGAATTAAGCCATATCTACAACTCACCACTTTCGGCGCACGCTTCTCGAGCATGCGCTTCGCTCTCTTCGTCTTCGGTTTCACAATGCGCAACATCGTTCCAAATTCGAATCCGGCAGATGTCTGCGACAACCAGAGGAACGCGTGCACACGACTCTTGAAAGCGAGATTGATCCACACGAACCCTTCCTACTTTCCTGTCACAGAAACCCTGGCTTCGGACGGTACAATCTCGCCTCGCAGATGGCCAGAACTTCTCGTCTCGAAGGTGCTACTGTCGACACACTAAACCTAAACCCTTCGCAGCGCTACCTGTTTAGGTCTCGGGGTTTTGTGGCTCATCTGTAAGTCCTCCAGACCTTCTGCCGTAGCCTTCTCATTCTTGGAAATAATTCTCGGCCCAGTTCGCCACGGTAACCGGCTCTTGCTTCGCGGAAAGCAAGCGGAAACTGATTCCAACTTCTTGCTAAACTCTTTAAAATTTGACAATCACAATGGCACTGAGTTAATTTCGCATGAAGTTCAAATAGGAAAGACACGAATTTCATCATATATTAAGATTTCAAAACTCATATATATCGATAATCAAATCCTTACTCTTCTATGCTTATGAATAACCTTATAACATTGCTTCGATAAACAATTATTAAAATTTTAATTGAAAAGTAGAAATCGAAAATTAACACAAATTCAATCATTAGATGATACATTTAGTAACAATATGAAGTCCTACTTATGGTTCATATGCAAACAAATTTCAATATATTTTTTAACCCTGATATAATCATCAGAGTAAGATTAATGAATCTCCAATAAACAACTATTAAGTACTAGATGATAGAAAATGAATAAAATATATCTATGCCTACTAAATAATTTCTTTTTAAAATAGTGATTCCAGAATAATTTGGAATTATAGTTTATGTAATTTTCATCTGAATAATATCATTTGAAAAATGAGACAGTTATTTATGTAACTATTGAAGTAAACTTTAGTGAACTCATAATTTACACTACATAATTAAGAATTTAGCAATTTTTTACTATGTGTTGTATGTCAAATCTTATGTATAATTCATAATTTAGATTCATAAAATTTACATAGATAGACATTTGTAGTTTAACAAATTCATAATATTGTCTTATACATGTATATCTCATTTTTTTTAATTAAACATTTTCTTTCGATAAATATTGATATTTTTTCATTATATCTTAAGATAAAAAAATTTGCTTCATTGTGATTGAAAATATAGCATTACAATTTATTTAATAATATTTCACTGAATTATAATTTAGAACGTTATTTGTTTATAAAAATCTATATAATCCAATTTTAGATATAATCTATGCAAAATGCTATATATCTTATTTCATTTCATAATTTACTTGAATTTATCAAAAATATAATGAATCTACAAAAATAAAGAAATACAAATTTTTGATGCATATAGAATGCATATGGAATGTAAAATTATCATTCAAGATTTTTATATAAAAATTCAAGTTACAACTTTGAAAAAAAAACCATGTTCAAATTTGATTTTTTAATAATAAGATATTCAAACTTAAGTTCAAATGAGGAAAGAATATACATTCAATGTACATAATCAAAATAATCAGCAAATCAAGTTACAAAAATTATGATTCTAATTCAAAACAAAGTTTTATTATATTTGTTGTGATTATTTTAAATTTCATATTAATCTTCATATAAATTTTAAATAATAATATTATTTATTAGTTACTTTCTTACTTATTTATTGTCAATGCATGTTATCTTTTTAAAATAAATTCATTATGAAAACGTAACTAATTTATTAAAGAGATGATATAGATTAGTTTTAAGATATAATTCAAACTTTTTTCATTATTTTTAGTTTAATTATGGTTAATTTTTCTAATAACTTATTACATTACAAAATAGTCATTTGTAGATCTACGTGACACAAAATTTAATATTTTGAAATATTTTATTTTTTCATTTTCTATTATTTTCTTTGATTCATTTCCATGCTCCATTATATTTAATCGGACATTTTTTAAAATGAAGCATGTATTTAAATTTTTGATTCTATTATGTAGGTGTTTTTTATAACTTATAAATTTGTGAAAATTTGAATCTATTCTATTTTCTTTCAATGATTTGTTATTCTATTAAAAAAATGTGTGTTATGATTATGATTGTTGCTTGTAGTAGCGGTACATTTTGGTAACTAGATGAACACGTTCAAACAACAAAAATAAACAATATATTTCAAGATATTTGTTAAAAATTTACCTAATTGAATGATACATCAATTTTGCATGCCGAAAGAAGCAATTTGTATTTCAAAATTCTTGTGATCACCAAAATTAACATTCAATGTTTGCAAAATTCTTCATGTAAAATTCACAAGCATTCAAGTGCAATTGAGGATGATGCAAATTGCATCAAGAGTTGTAAAAATCCATTGATGCAAATCGCATCAATAGTTTTTAACAACTTCCCTTCTACGCTATAAATATTTGCAATAAAATTGTATCATTATACGTAAAATCTATGTATTTTACACTAAGATTTAATTCAAATGACTCCTTGATGATTTATCTTACTTTCAAAAGACATATTTTAACTCCAAACTCCTATTCAAGTAACTACTGTCCCAATATTTCATGAATTTTATTCAATAAAATATAAAAAACATTCAAATATACTTTGTAGTTAGCTCACTAGAATGAAGAGAATTTTTTATTGCTTGTAAACTAGATCATTTGATTAAAGTTGTGACATTTATATTGTGGAAGCACTTGATTTAAGTTTTAAGTCTCAAGTAAAGCTAAAAAGTTACATGTAACTCATGGACTTTCAACCAAAATACACATAAAGATGAAGCTATAGGCATAAACTCTTTGTAGCAACATTTTTTTTGCAATTAATTTTTTCTAGGCTAAAGATTTTTTCATAAATTTATTTTTACTAATTTATGCATTTTCTTAGTAGTAAATTATCATCAATTTGAGCATCTTTGTAGCAATATAATCTTCTCGCTTTTAGCTTATTTTTATCAATAGCAATCACACACTTTGATACATACATATTTCATTTATTTAATAGTTTTAGTTAGTAAATGTGTTACAATATTATAACCTCTTTACACATCAATATATTGATTCTTTAATGTAGTTGAAAGATTTTTTTCAAATCTTGACTTATGATCAATAGCTTTGATTTGTTTCCTCAATTCTACAATATTATAATTTTAACAGCTTTTTAAAATTATCATCAAATATTATGGCTGTTCAATTTTTGTTACATTAGTAGGTTTTTGAAAAATCGCAAATTATTTATACAAATGAATTTTTTTCACAATTATTTTTCAAATAATTGAATCTTTCGTGGTCTGAATTCTTATAGTTTTACCTTCAACTTCTTAAGAGTTTATTGTATTGTACCAAGTCTTCACTATTTTTTGTTGATATTTAGGCATCAAATTGATCAAAATAATTTTTTTAAATTGATTGATTTGTTGTTGAAACATGTTTTGCATGATCCAAAAAAACATTTTAAAGAATATTTTGCCATAATTTTCATCCCAAAACATATATTGGTGCTAGCTCATGTAATTCAAAAATGATATAAATACAGATGCACTTGATGGTTCAATGAATTTACACTAAAATATTACCTTGATTATTGAATTTGATTTCTAAAGTTTTAAACAACAAATGTTGACATCTTGCATCATAAGAATTTTAGAAGCATTTTCAAGAACTTTTACTTTCACTTTTTGCTTACTCTTGTACTAGATTTTCTGAACGATCATTTCTTACATGAGTTTTTGTTTCCTGCCATTCAACTAAGTTTTGTTGTTTGATATAAAAATATCTTACCCCAAAGTCTACATTATGTTTAGGCTTAAACTTTAAATTTCAAAACAAAATAGAAAAAAAAATTTATTATCATAAAAAATATTTCTTATAAAAAAAAGATAATAGAAAAATAATAATTTATTTCAGACTATCAATTCATGGTTTTTTACTTTAATGACACAACATCCAATTTTTTTAACCAAAATGCCATCAATTCTGACACGACAAATTCTAATTAAGAAGTTGATTGATTATTGTGTATTGATTGTAACATTATTGCATATCACATTATATTCTCTGAAATTTATTTTAATTTTTATAATAATCAATCTATGCATTCACACATAAAGATGCAATATGAACAACATGTTTTACTTCTAGGCTGTGTTATATATATATAACTAACTAGGGAGCAAGGTTTTTTATTCATTTGATTATCGTAAACTTTAAATCAAATGAATTGACCATGTGCAGTTTGATTAAGTCATATGTTGAGATATAAAAATATCAATAGGGATATTATAATCATTTTATGTTGAATGTAATCAAAATAGATGTTTTTCAAGATGGAAATAAAGTTCATATGTATCAAATTTTCTATAATACTATCACGTCAAAGATTCATGCTTTTAATAATCAAACAAAAATTGTGTTAGTTGACAATAACATGTGAGTACTACTATGATTGTTAGATTTTTCTTTGTTAGAATTATTTGCCGTTTACAGAATCTAATAGTATTGAGTTGTATAATAATAGTGAGATTTTATCTACTTGTATTAGTTGGAAAAACATATATAAGAAGGAATGAAATCATTTTATCTATATTTCATGTTTGGAATTTATATTTAAATTTTGAGTGAGATATTACTTTGTATATTCCATGACAACATGTTATTTCATTTCAAGTTGAGATACTCAAAATTTCAATCTTCTAAAAGATTGAAACTTTGAGTGTCTCAACTTGAAACTAAATTATAATTTTATCTAATCTACTATAGAAAATGCTCCTACATTGTCAAATCAACTAAGACTAGAATGTTGTCAAAGCGTTATTTTAAAAATATTTTTTAATTCTTATTCTTGTTAAAAAATACATTAATAATGTATGTTTTATATGTAAAATCTTTGGTTTATATTTTTAAGCATGAATTTGATGATCAAACTTAATCATGAACAAGTAATTTATTTACAAATTTTGAAAAAAATATACTCAAATAAATAGTAATTTTGTACTTATTTCAAGATTATTTTACATTAATGAAATGAAAAAATACAGTTTTGATGAAATGTTTTTGATTTGATCATATCATATCACTTTTGCTTTCAAATTTTGTTACCAAAATCATCAAAATAATCAAGAAAATAACATTGTTTAGCACTTTGACATCCTAATGCATAAAAATACCTCATATAATCATTAAAATTGAATTCATTCGATTTTCTAATTTCATATGAATTATTGAGTACAAATCAATATCA